AATGGATTCGGGATATTAGGATAAGCGCTAATTTGTCACACTTAAAGGAAGATACCTCAAATACTTTTCCGGGGGCACTTGTTACTTTAATTAATTAGCACTCAAAATTACCAGTCTGGCCATGAACAAAAGTAAGACTGAGGATATCCGCTATTGTGCCATCTGATATCTATCAACTTCTGGTACTTGTGAAGGAGAAAGAAGCAATCTAGTGACCTCCGAAACGATGACGCATGTACGCAGTGGTAGTGACAGGTTTCAACTAGAGGCACATAGCATAGTAGTCTCGTACTACTGGAATTCTAGATCGATAGTCTGGGCAATCTTCGAAATCTAGACTGTGTCTTGGCTCGTACTGTACGTAATAAGGGGAGGGCGGGGGAGCGGGGCGGATGGGGCACACATTGGAGAATAGATTCCGGTACCCTGCTTGCTTTAGACCAAGCCTATGGCAACGGATCGTCCTGTATGAATTATAATTCGATGTAAACACAAAATTAGTAACTGGAAAGCATCGCATAGTTTTCATTGGGCAGTCGATCAAGAACTCGATGAAAACTGTAACGCACTGTACTATTTTTAAGCCAGTGTTAGTGATATTACTGGGGTGCCATCACATGCAAATCTGTTGGGTCTTTTAATCCAGGGCTACGTGCCCCCATTTAGGTGCACCTCAGCTGTTCGATGTATGTGTGCCAATAGCTAGCGAAAATTCATCGTTAACCTTATTTCGTTTTATACTTGTCGCATTTCAGTCGCAGTGCTACTCTAGCCTGAATTCGCGTTTCTTGTATGAGTAAAGTAGAATTCCTGAGAGTTATGGATGCAGAAGTTTTTATATGGGAAGGATGAAACATTCTGCCGATGTTTTCCTCTCTCCGCCAAAAAAAGTGCTGAATAAAAAGTGCATTGTAGTGGTAAAAGTGATTGCATTTCTGCAACACAAAGCTAATTGCATCGCGCGCGGCTTTCAGTGCCTTGTGTGATTCTAAAAAAAGCCGGTTTACCATCGATGTTCACAACAATCAATTATAAATGTCACTTAGGAGCTATGTAAAAAGTTATCCAAAAAATCTTTTCCTTTCACATATGTAATCCTTTGAAATGTAACAATTATCCTGGATCAGCTGTTAATTCATGCTGTGGCTCTTCACATATGCATGTCTAATGCTGTATTGTCTAGTGGTCAACATGGGGACAGTGCTGACTTTCGTTTCATTTCCTGGAAGGATTACAAGTTCAGTATTTGCTATAATCAAAAAAAGTCTTTTAACAATTATTCAAAAAGTCATAAACTGCTCTCTAAAACTTCTGCAGGTATGGTGTTCATCCACACCCAGAACATTCCTATCAGGACGGTTTCGTGCATGGTTCCAGTGCGGGAAATACGACGTTATCGGATTGTCCGAGCCCGGATCGTGATTCAGCATTTGGCGATTCATCCAGCACCGAATCCCGAAACAACAACCGGAATTGCCGCAATTCAGCCATTTCGAGTGCCGATAGCTGCCGCGGATCACTCAATACTCCCAGTCCGACACAGCAGGTCTGAGCACTGGAAATTCCATACATTCCACTACTGGGAAAATGATATTAACGTTATCTTTTGGAACTGCCAAAAAATAGTTCACATCTGTGCGAGAATTAGTAACTTTTCTCTGCTATACACTTCAAAGGCAGTACGAGATCTAGAGAAAAGGCTACTTTACTGAAAATAGTTATAATTCAAATACGGGCGAGTTGAACTAGTTTCAAGAATAATGAAAGAGTCGCAAAAATAGTGCTTTTGCAGCAGCAGCAGTATCAGTAGTAGCACTGTAATCCGAGTTACAATAATAACAGTGATATCAATAATAATTACAGTGCAGAATTCCTAGTAGTAGCCTTTTTAATATTCATATTATCAAGTATTCTGATTTGGTAGTAACGATAACAATAATAGTAGCAGAATGACTGTGGTGATGGTAATAATAAAATTTTAGTAATTAGTACTAATTGTAATAATAACGACAATAATGGCACATGAATAGCACATGAATACTACTTAGTGATTATAAAATAATTACAATAAAAAACTTGAATAACTAGTAATGATAGAAATAGTGATTGTACTTCACAAAACATAAAGTAGCTACGATAAAAATTAAATAACGAAACTAACAGCACTAGCAACGCTAATGTTTTCTTATAGTATTTGTTTAACGGTAACTCAGACAATCACGGGAATAAATTCCTCCGTTTTCCGATGTAATTTGATTTCGCTCGGAAAAAAAATTTTTTTTTCAAAAGGTTTTTTAAGGGGAACTGTTTTCACAACCACTTTATCTTCGGTCTAAGCAAATACAACCTCCTTTCAAAAATTTGCTTCGTCTGGCATCTGGTAAATAAATGAGAGGTCACAGTATGGTCAGGACCAATCGGCTTGGGCAACAAAAAAGCACTTGTGCCTTCTTGTTTTTAGTTTGACATTAGCCTCGCCTTCGGGAACGGCAAA